CAGCCATTCATTCCCTAGATTGAAATGTTGCGATGGCAGGATTTGTGCAGATCTTACTGCTGGGTGTTGGGATCTTAGTCTGGATAGGCCTGCATCAGCCACGTCTTTGTGGATGGGCCACTCTCTGGTTTCGATGACCTTTCTATATTCACGAAGAAGAGCATCTTATCTTCGGAGAGGTGGGGGAGTGATGTGCCACAACGTGCATAGCCAACAGGTCAGAGTGGGTTTAAACGTCTGCTGATGGTTCTCATTGTTGAGTTGAACATCAAGTTTGTGGACATGGGGGCTGTTGAGCCACACTGAAGCACCGTCTTCCGCAGGACTATACACCAACCCCAAAGCTGAGCTGCTAAGTGTTGTAGCAGATGCACCCCAGGTTGTACCACATAATTTATGAAGAATGTTGTTTCACATGCATATTCTCACTGTTTCATTGGTAAGAGGGCGTTTATAGCTCAAGGTCCTGTCCAGAGTAATGCCAAGGCACTTAGGTGTATGGTTTGGTGTAGTGGTTAAGCGCACGGACTCTAATCTAGGAGAACTGGGTTTGATTTCCCCACTCCTTCACTTGCAGCTGCTGGATGACCTTGGGCAAGCCACAGTTCTGTCTGAGCTGTTCTCTCAAGGACAGTCCTCGAAAGAGCTCTCTCAGCCCCACCTCCCACACAGGGTGTCTGTTGTGGGGAGAGGAAGGGAAAGGAGTTTGTAATCCGCTCTGAGACTCCGAGTGAAGGGCGGGGTATAAATCCAATCTCTTCTCCTTCTTGTAAGTCGGGTGCCATTAAGGCCGACATTCAGTTCACATGGAAACAGCACCAGAGTGCAGGACGGTAGGTCTTTGAGGGGGACTGTCTCTACCTGGTGACGAGAGAGGCCTCTTTTGGCCTGCTTCATGCTGTATCAGCGTGGAGGCTTATTTAATTGGGTCTGGCTAGAGTGAGCCCCAAAAGTAGCATGTTCTGCCCAGGGTGGTGGTTAAGCTAATCTGCAAACATCCCCTAGAAGTCTCTTGGCACAAGGGGAGGGAACTAAATCAGCCCCGCGGGGCTGTCTGGTCCAGGGACCTGGGGAGGGAATTCTCCCAGTCCTGCCTGTCAACACCTGAACCATTGATTAAATTCCAGGGAGATGTGGCAGGTGAACATCCTTGATGGGTAGCATCTCTCAGCTCAACTATTTTTTAAATTTTGCTTTATTAATTTAATTCCTCTCCCTCCCTCCCCACGAATGGGCTCAGTGTGTGGACAAGTGAGCAGCAGCTTAGCCTCTGAAGAAGTGCGCATGCACATCAAAGATTATAGGTAAAGGTTTCCCTTGCTAAAAAGCCAGCCGAATCCGACTCTAGGGGTGCAGTGCTCATCTCCGCTTCCAAGCTGAAGAGCCAGCCCTGTCCGAAGACGTTTCCGTGGTCATGTGGCCGGCATGACTAGATGCCGAGGTGCATGGAACGCTGTTACTTTCCCACTCAAGTGGTGCCTATTTATCTACTTGCCATTTCTTGCTTTCGAACTGCTAGGCGGGCAGGAGCAGGGGCCAGAGATGGGAACTCACTCCGTCACGCGGCACTCGGGTCTCGAACTGCCGAACTACAGCCCTTCCGGTCTGCAGTTCAGCGTCTTAACC